CCCTGCGGTACTCCGTTTATCACAGGTAAACAGGAACTCATTTCACCGTTGAGGCTGACCGCCTGACTCCTATCTGTTAGGTATGAAGTAATCAGTTCCAGTGGTCTTGCACGTATACCATATTTTTCCAGCTTGGCAATGAGAAGAGTATGTTGAATGGAATCAAAAGCTTTTGTTAGATCACATAGGATCGCTGTTGTTTCATCTCCATTTTCCATAGCTTCCCAAACATTATTAAGGAGAGCCTCCACAGCATCAATTGTGCTTACACCTTTTCTGAAATCAAACTGTTTGCTGCTGAGATAAGATGTTAATCTGTCTAGTAGTGTCTTCTCAACACTTTTGAAAATATTGGTAATATGGAGATCGGTCTATAATTAGAGCAACTTGACTGTTCTCCTTTTTTATAGATTGGTGTTACCCTTGCAATCTTCATTACTCTTGGTACAACACCTTCTTCATAGCACGAATTTATTACATTAGCTAAAGGAGCAGATATTTGGTCGGCACTGTACTTCAGAATTTTAGTGTTTAGAAAGTGTATGTCCATTGAACTTTTGCATTTCAAATGTGACATGGTTTCTTTAATTTCATTTGGAGTTACGGGTGTGAGGAACATGGAATGACTCTGAGATTTTATTTTAGCAGCAGCTGAAGCTCCAACGTTACATGCATTGTTGCCGATGCTTGCGAAAAATGTGTTTAGCTCATCCTTCGATGGTTGATTATCCGTTGTCCTCTTATTCCTTTGAATTTCGCCGTTGATACCTCTCCACATCCCAGCTTGACGATTACCTGACTCTTGGATACTTTTAATATATTGATCCCTCTTACGCTCTTTCGCAAAATAAATATAAAAATCTTTGTAACTCTTTAGAATTTCTTTTAAATCTTCACCGCCACGGGCGTTATAAGTTTCTTGTATGAGATTTAATGTTTCTTTCACCTGCAGAGTTTGAGCATCCATTACATATTGTTTTCTTTTACGTGGTCTTTGTTGAATTGGGAAAGCGATATTTACGAAGTGTAAATATAAATTTAGAAAAACATCGTGTTTGTTTTCAGCCCCTACTGTATTAAAAACAGTGTTCCAAGTTTCATTTTCCAATAAAGTTGTGAACTGCAATTGTCCGTATTGTGTTAAACGTCGCATTCTGGTTTTGGTGTTGACTACTGGAATAGTTGGTAAGTTTAAAACGATTCCATGATGGTCAGAGATTCCAGATTTAAGAATGTTAATGGTGTATAGATCGACATTCGTGAATATGTCGTCAATTGAGGTTCTAGTCGTTGTTCGAGTCGTTACAGACTCTCTTGTGTATTCAGAGGTAGTTGACTTTAAACCCAAGCAAGCCATAGTATTAATGAGTTCCCGTGTAGCCCCATTGAATATTAAAGTGTCTATGTTGAAATCTCCTGTTATGCCGATTTTGGTTTCCGGTTTAAATTTTTGCATTAGACCCAATGTTACCATTTCTACTTTTTCAAGAAATATATTTAAATTAGCATTTGGAGATCTGTACGTAGTCATGATGATTATATCCAACTGCGTTAAATAGATTCCAGCTATCTCACATTCCATTTCAATTGAAGTTTTCAATTTCGATATACTTGTAGTCATTACGAACATATATACAGACTCCGCCAGCTTTATGCTGTGTTCTTATAAAGCAGCAGGCTTGTGTGTAGGAATCTATGTCAAACATTTTTGCATTTGATGCATTTAACCAGTGTTCGTTAATGCAGAGAATGTCAATTTTATTTGTGTGTGCGATAACTTCTAAAGCTTCAACTTCATTTGAAAGCCCCTGTATATTAATATGCATTATATTTAACATATTATATGGCATATCATAGCGATTTTTTGCATATGTGTTGTTCGCGATTTGTTATTGAATTTGAACGTTTTTCTTGCGCAGGTCAAAAAACCGCCTAACGTAGGCGCCCTGTGGCCATAGGTGATTTGTATGACCACCTTGTCTGTATGTATGTAGGAAAGCGGAGGGTATGCTACACATACAGCACCTAGGCCCCAACGGGCCCCTTGTACATCCTCCTGCACTCTGTCCGGCTACATCAACCAGCCTAAGGAATTTCTGAAGGCTAGGATACAGCTCAGAGGTGTGTTCCTGATGCCATCTGTGGTCGGCCATTCCTCTCCGAAGTCTCTCATTTTGAGGTCTTGCAGAGTGGGGCATTCACACCGTCTCTTCGCTCTCTTTACAGAGGCGACAGAGAGGACTAACAGCAAGCTTAAGGTTATAAAGATGCTTGTTTACCTTACAGCGACAAGTCCCGTTATAGTTCGTACAGCGTTTTTACCAAGCCTTACGAAAGACGAGGCTGCCTCTGCTGAAGGATAATGTAATACTTCCTTAGACAGATGGCAGCCCTTAACACTATCCCACCAATTCATACACTTTTTGTGGGTAAAATCATTGATTATCTCAATCTGTGTTGATAAGGACGGAGCGATTATCGGTTCAGCGAACATGGCGCTCGCTTGGCAGACCTTTTGGCAAGCCTATCAGCGTGCTTGTTACCTGAACAAGTCGAGTATCCTTTTATCCATTGAAGTATAACACAGTTATGCACTGCAGCCTTCTCCAATGTCAGATGACCACCCATAACAAGTCCTGAGGTTATTGTTATTCTACTCAGGGCCAAAATAGCTTGTCTACTGTCAGTATAAATTGTAAAAGTCTTACCTACCAAGTTGGATCTGACAATAACGACAGCGGCAAGTTGTATGGCGATTAACTCCGCCTTTATGACGGTGGTACTTTTACCTAGAGGTTCAGATACGTGGAGTCGGAGATCATACGAGAAAACTCCGGCTCCAGCTCCTTCCCGTCTCTTTGAACCATCAGTGTAGATTTTAAGGCTGTTTTTTTACCTCTATTTCTGTGGAACTTGGGTGGGTGAGATATTTTTTTCGTAAAAATGTGTTGTAGGGGTGTGGAGTCCGTTGCACAATCCAGAATTGGTGAGTAGTCCACCATTTCATTCCAGAGATTGGCATTTTTACTATTTCTCTCACCCATTAGAATTCCTGCTGCTCGCAGTCGAATCATGGTCACCAATGCCACCTCTTGGATGAACAAACGAAGTGGCGTTAGGTTCAGCATGTTTTCCATGGCTGCAGTGGGGGTAGTCCGCAGCGCACCTGTAACATACAAACACGCAAGCCTCTGTACTTTATTAACTGCAGCAGTGGATGTAGACTGTAAGGTCTTTGACCACCATACTACTGCACCATATGTAAGCATAGGTCTGATTACAGCCGTGTAAATCCAGAGGGCAATTTTGGGTAACAAACCCCATGTCTTACCTATAGCCCACCGGCATTGACCGAATGCAACGTGCGCTTTTTTTTACTCTATTATCATTAATATTTCTATGTCATTTTATTGTCAAGTGTGATGCCCAGATATTTAACTTCTTTAGACAATACCAATGGAGTATTGGCAAGGGATGGCATTCTGGGCTTGCCAACCTTCTTCATCCGTGTGAAGAGAATCAACTCTGTCTTCTTAGGATTCACAGAGAGTCTTTGTTCGTCACACCAAGTCTGTATCAATTTGAGAGCTAC